TGATCCAAAAAGGCATAATAGGACTTCATAAATCATTTATTTTAGTTCCTAACCAGGAGAAACTATATATTGGTTTGTTTTTGTGCATCTTATTAGATCTCTCATTAGGTGTATGTCAAATAAGGGGTTCACAACTTGCGTGTTTAATCTTGTGTGTTCATATATAGGTAATGAATATCTGTAATACCATCTTACTTAATATATGTGCATCCTAATTAATTATTGGAATAAATACTCAATTTTTGAGCCTAAAATATTCTTCAAGTCAACATCATTACTTTATCCTCGGCTCAAAACTTTGTGGGTCAATAGAGAAGTCTTCGTTTCTTTTTAGGAGAAATTTTTAAAAAAGCCCTTTTTCAATTTTATTGGGCAAAATCGACCCTCTCATAAAATAATTAGCAAAACCGACCGAAAAGGGTCGGTTTTGCAATTATGGAGCCGCAAGGGACTAGTAGTCCCGTGCAGTCCGCCTACCCCACCAGCCCCGCATTTCTTTCGTTCTTTCTTTCGTTCTGTCGTTGCTAAAAAAACCCTAACCTAACCTCGTCGACCCCCGCCGCCGACCACCGCAGTCGCCGCCGACCCCGCCGCCGACCACCGCAGTCGCCGCCGACCCCGCCGCCGCTCTCGTGACCGCGCCTTCGACCCCCTCGTGACCGAGCCTTCGACCCCCCTCCCAAAAACCCTAGCCTTCGACTTCGACCCCCGCCATTTGCAGTCGCCGCCTACCCCTAGCCCTCCGACCTCGTCGCGCCGCCGACACTATCGACCCCCGCCATTTGCAGTCGCCGCTCAGGTGTGTTTTTCTTTTTAATTTTGCTGTTAATTTGGGAGTTAGGGTTTAGTTTAGCAATTATTTACATATGAGAGGGTTTATCAATTATTTTTTAGAGGGATATTCATCAAATTTTGCTAGAATTGGGGGAATAATGTTTTGGCTGTTAATTTTGCTAGAATTGGGTAGGATTAGTTTTTATTTTGTGCAATAGGATGAATAATGTGGTTTGGGGGTTAGGGTTTAGCAATTATTTACAAATGATGAATAATAATTAAGGGTGTAGCCATTATTTGGGATTGATTAAGGTAATAAATTTGATGTTGATTTATTCAGATATTAATAGATTATTTGCATATGATGGACTGTGTATTTTCAGTTTCGATGACGAACTCCATACCCATTATTTGTTTCTTTAATGGGAGTCTCGGCGTCGGAGTGAATAATTTGCCTATGTATGATGGAGGTTCTCGAAAAATGTTCATGCTATCTAAGTCGTGTAATTTTGATGGAATGACTAGGGAAATACACAGAGTTACTAAAATTAAGAAAGAAGAATATACAATTAGGGTGTTCTTCAACTGTCCGATAAATGAGAGTAGAACTATTGCCGTGGAGATTACCGAAGATGAGGAATTGAATGACATGAAACAATTAGTCGAGAAGCAAGCGTCAATTGAGTTGTTTATTGAGAAGTATCCGATTCAGGAATCTGCCCAAGTTTCACGACCTCAAGGAGAGTTTTCTCGGATGCTTGACTTAGACAACGAGTCGATTGGTTTTATGACATCTCCAAGTCAAGAGCCATGGTCTCAACCACAACATTTAAGTGAGTATTCTATCGGTGAGACGTCAACTAATATATTTAACGACGATTCAGGTCATGTTACGGGTTACCCACCAGTCGGAGCAATTATAGAAGATGAAGCAGATGATGATTCAGATCATTTTGAAGAAGATGGCGTGCAAATTGATAGCATGCATGTGGCAGCTGGAATCGATGATGACGCCCGTTGGATGGAGCAATTTAACGTTAACAATGATTATGTGGAAGCTGAAGATCCGTTGCCCGACGAGTTTCATAATGAGGATTGGATAAATACTTCTCAAGCTGGATTTGTTGATGTTGGGCCAAATTTACAACGACCTGAGGACTTCACTTTTAAAAAAGGGGATCTATTCGAGAGCAAGGAGGCACTGATCTTTGCAATCCGAGAATGGTCCATCAAGAATCGGGTCAAATTAAAGCCGGTAAAAACTAATGCAACAAACTACAATGTGAAATGCTTCTTTAACGATAAGAATGAAGTAGAGAACGCAAATGAGCAAGATGAGAGAAATAAAAAATGTCCTTGGTTGCTAAATGCCGCCGTGAGAAAATCATCAAATGGGCAATTTGTAATATGTAGATATTGCGGACTTCATACATGTTGCAACCCGTCGGTGGATGTCGATGATTATTCTGCATCTTCTTCTTATATATGTAAGCTAATTATGCCTGAAGTTAGAGCTGAACTTGATCTGAATGCAGGTCAGATATTTCAGAGGGTATATGACATGCGGGGGATTAAGATATCTAAATATAAGGCATATGATGCAAGGCGGAAAGCGTTGTCTAAAATTTTTAGAGATTGGGAAAAATCATATGAATTACTTCCACAGTATCTTGAAGCTATCAAACGAAATAATCCAGGTACTGAATACGAAATATTATCTGAAGAGATTGCACCGGGTATGGAGAGGTTCACTCGCGTGTTTTGGGCATTTGGTCCTGCTATTAAGGGCTTCACTTTTTGTCGTCCGCTATTGAGCATTGATGGTACACATTTATATGGAAAGTACAAAGGCGTGCTTCTTGTAGCGACCGGTGTAGATGCAAATGGCGGGTTATTTCCTCTAGCATTTGCAGTCGTGGAGGTGGAGGATACGTCTAGTTGGAAGTAGTTTTTTGAACTTATATACAAGTGGATTCCAAGTGTCCGTGCGCCAAGAATAATTACCTTTATTTCGGATAGGATGAAAGGAATTATAAGGGCGTTATATGAGGGTTTTAGTGCACCACATCACCATCGATATTGTTTAAGGCATATAAGAGATAATTTCAAGAAAAAACACGGTGAGATTAATTTGCAAAATCTTTTGTGGCAAGCCGGGTGTGCGACCGACACATTAGTGTATGAACATTGCAGGGAGAAAATCAAGTCTTTGTCATTAGATGCACATAATTGGATTGAAAATAACTTGAAGCCCCAATTCGAGCATCGGTGGGCATTATGTAAGGATGAGGGTGTGCGGTTTTACATGATGACGACTAATTGCTCCGAGAGCTTTAACGGCGTTCTTAAAGGAGCACGAGCTATGCCAATACAATCTTTGGTTACAAGAACATTCTATAGACTAAACGCATACTTTAACAAAAGGCGTGGTGATGGCATAAACTGGACAACACGTTACACACCAAAAAATGAGTCCATTTTGCATAGAAGAATTGAGGCAGCAAGATCATGTCAAATTACCGTATTCAACGACAACGAATGGCAGGTACAGGATTATGACGGTATCTACACCGTTAAACTATTTGATGTTGATTGCACTTGCACATGTAACATATCACAACTCCAAAAAATACCCTGTGCACATGTGCTTGCGGCTTCTTCTAATCAGTCGGGAGGTGCTAGAATTCCCAGAAATCGGTATTGCTCGCCTTGGTATTCAACAGCTCACTATCAAAAGACATATAGTGAGAGTTTTCATCCACCTGATGATAGTCGGTATTGGCCTGAATATAATGGACCACGTATAATTCCACCTCAGTACCGGAGACAAGCAGGTCGACCACGATATGTGCGAATTAGGGGAACCATGGATCAAGGGCGAGAAGGAGTGGTCAAGCATAAAAAATGTAGTCTTTGCAAACAACCGGGACATACTCAACCTCGTTGTCCATCTAGACACAATAGATAGCAACTAATTGGTAATTTATATCATTTTTTTATTTTTATATACTTTAATAAAGAAACTGAATTACTATATGATTGATTATTGATATGTGTATAATTGTATGTGCAGGTTTGTACACCATGGATCCTGGGTCGGTTAGTGATGAGGTCTTATATGACCAGGCTCAGCATCGTTCACATATTATATCCTGTACAGAGGTAATTCAGTTACTTTATAATTGTAATATTTGCACACCCGGCAACAGCGACATAGTCGAGGACGACGCAGAAATGACGATGAAGCTGGACCTTCCCAACGTGTCGACGATGGAGCTGGACCGTCAAACCACAAACGCAACCGGATCACGAACTCGTCGAAGGGCGGTATGGAGGACAAAGGAGGAGGAGGAGAGTTCTTGGATGTATGTAAACTACATGTTATATACATTACAAAACTATTTAGGGATGTGATTTTTGGATTTGTAGTCGATAATATCGTGTGATATGTTTGATTAGTGGGAGTTTGTGGTGTTATTATGTTGGATTTGTTTGTTAGTGGGAGTTTGTGGTGTGATGTGATTTGTTTGATTTGAAATGAGTATGTGGTGAAATCAGTATGTAATTTGTTAGTGGGAGTTTGTGGATGTATGCACAGGGACTACATGAAATGCAGTGGTGAAATGAGTATGTGACTTGTTAGAGGAAGTTTGTGTTGATGTATGCACAGGAACTACTTGAAATGTAGAGAAAATTGCACAAAAATGTGCACAGCGAGTGCACGGGACTGCTAGTCCCGTGCACTTGGTGTTCAGCAAACGGGTAGTGCTCTCTGCTTAAAAGTCGGGACTGCTAGTCCCGACTTTTAAGCAGAGAGCAGCTGCTGGAACACCGGGACTGCTAGTCCCGTGCACTTCGTAAAACACCCCCCGCTGCAAAACCGACCCTTTTCTTTTGAAAAGGGTCGGTTTTGCTAATATTTTTCAGTATAGGTCGATTTTGCCCATTAAATTTTAAAAATGGTTGGTTTTAAAAATTTCTCCTTCTTTTTATTTTCTCCCCCCTCTTCTTTTTGAAACAAAACTAGAAACCAGAAACATAACAAGTGACAACAAACCTCCAGATAAGCCCATGTATCAAAATATCAGCAATCATTTAAAGCTCCTCATATAAAGATGTATATATTCAATGCTTCAGGAAGCAAAACAAGAATTCAACATCCTGTTATACTTGTCAAATGTAAAATACTTCCAACCTCCAACTGTAAAGT